CAATTGTTGGTAACTCGCAATCACTAAATAAGTTTTGGAATTGGATATTCCAAAATTATCTTAATCACAACAACAACGAAAATGTACGAACACAAGTTTCTATCCAATCTCGTTGGGGCATAATCATAAAGTGTTGCGGTAAATATAGTGGATGCCTCAGACAAATTGAAAATAAGCAACAAAGTTGAATCAATGAAACAGATAAGGTGAGATTTCTATTTTTCTTGTTAGTTGTAATTTTAATTTTTATACATCTAATTTTGTTTCATATAATTTTCTAGGTTTTTCAAGTAAAAAGTTTGTATTATGAAAATAAGAAGAAACATTTTTCTTTGGATCATTATTGGGCGATCTTGGAACATGCCATTAAGTGGGAAGATTGGGGATCCTCCAAAAAGCCAAAGTCTCCTGGAATGACCCCATATTCCTCTTCCCCATTTTTCGCATCCCAAATTCTTGAGACACCCATCTCTCTCGATTCCGATCAAGATCGAACCAAAAAATCTGATGACTCCCTAAGAACCAAAAGGTCTAGTGGAAGAAAAGTTACAAAAAAAGCACGTAGGAAAAACAAGATAGCAGATATTTCAAACGCTCGTTTTTGTGATTTGATGGAAAAATTTAACGAAAATACAACTAAGAGTAAAATGAAGAAGTTCGAAATAGAAGAAACAAAAGTTAAAGTAACGGAGTAAATGAATCAAAGGGAACAAAAAGAGAAAAAAGCCAAGCAAAAAGAGAGAGATGATAAGATTATGATGATGGACCTTTCCAACATGGACCCTCATGCGAAAGTTTATTACCAACTGCACAAGGATGAGATTCTTGCCAAACTACAAATACGCTCAACAAATTTTGATTATTATGTTCTTCTTCCCCCATCTCCACCATGAAGGACACGTGAAGTTGAGACTGCTGAAGCCATTGTTTTTAGAGAAGCTATTAATCTTGTATCTGGTTGGGTTTATATGGAGGTAGATTTTGAGGGGGACTGTAAATCAGTGATGAAGTTGATCCCCAACTCTGATCATGCTGTTATTATCATTGAAGATGGGATTTCACTTTTGCAGCTAGTTGCTGATCTTTTGTGTAAATGGGCTGTCAAAAACAAATATTCGGGTTTGAAGGGGATGTGTGGCCCTCTTGGTTGTCTTCAACTATAGGGATGGACCTTCTTTATGTTGTTTAGTGTTCCTTTGTTTCAGTTAGGGAAAAAAATAAGTTAAGGCAGCTCAATTTTTACTTAAAGCATGCCTAAGTTTTTTTTTTTTTTTTTGGTAGGATATGCATGATTTCTTGTTCAATGTTCCAATACATACATATAGAAAAACCTTTGCTTATACCACCTCACATGGTTTTATAGAAAAAAAATATCCATTCAGTGTAATTGGCCGATCAAATGAATCTCCATTCAACAATGTTGCTGGACATGTTAGTGATGAAGTTCTAGTTTGAGTCATGATTATAGAAGAATCTTGAAACCTGTAGGAGCAATCTTGAAAAATGGTGATAATGATCTTTAATGGCGTTGATTATTGTTTTTGGTTTGGATAATTAGGCTTGTTTGATTGCTTTGATAGTGTTTAAGAGAGGAAAAAAATGAGAATTGGAAATTTGAATCTTTTTTTTTTGGCACTGAGAAAATGAGAGCTTACACTCAACTGACTGCTATTTTAAATTTTGATTCTGCTTCTGAGTTCAAATAAAAATAATAATAGAATGGTAGCTGGGAGTGGTAGTTGAAAATGGTAGTTGGGAATGGTAGTTAAAAAAAAAAAAAATGGTGGTTGTGTCAAAAAATAACATTTTGTATAAAATGCACTATTGGAGCAGAATTGCTAAAATATAGCATTTTGACATTGTAGCACCGCTCAGAATATAGTTTTGGCATGCAAAAATAGCTTTTTGCATTGGAGATGTGCTTACATATCAAACACATCATAATATATTTGTTTGCTGGGACGGAACACCATATTATGTGAGGGGAGGGCAATAATAATTTTTTTATAATTTTCTGGAGGGCAATGGTAATATGTTAGATCATCTCCAATACAAAATGTAATTTTTTCATGTTAAAGTTATATTTTGAGAGGAGTGTTATATTTTAGCAATTTTGCTCTAATGATTCATTTTATCCAAAATGCTATTTGGAGTGTATTATTTTCATCCACATGCTATATTTTTAGAAACGGCACCGTATGAAAAAAAAGAGACTTCTCAAAAATTTTTGAAATCTGCTAGATATGACAATACTTTTGATAATTTTAAAATACGAGAGGTTTTTTGAGACCCCATTGGAGTATATTATATTCATCCACTTGCTATATTTTGATTTTGAGATTCATCCACCCACTATATTTTGACTTTGAGAGGCCTTTTAAAAAGGTATTAAAGATGCTAGGGTATATAATTAAAGAAAACAAATTAATAGGGACATATTATTAAAAAAACAAAATCACGGGGCAATTGCCCCGCATGACAAGTTAATTGAGTTTGACACTTAATCTTCGTCTCCTTTTTTATATATATATATACACACACATATCAAGGAAGGAGGAATGGAAGACATTTCTCAAACTTTTTATGTCAAAATAACCATTTTTTTATTTTTTATTTTTTTTTCAAGGCAAGAAATTTCTAAATAAGCCTTGATTTGGGATTTATATATGTAAAATAAATCCCAACTTAAGGTTTATTTTGACATAAGAAGCTTGATTTATTTTACACACACACACATATATGTATATTATATCAGAGTATAAAGAGAGGAGTCCGTTTTTCAAGCTTCTTATGCCAAAAAAACCCTTGAGTTGGGATTTATTCACAACCTTAAATGCGTTCTTATTTTCTTATTTTGAGAATACCATGTCAAGCATATTTAAGCTGAAATCATGCGTATACTTGCAAACACATACATTTAACATTGCTCGAAGTGTATGAACCAAAATTATCTTGTTTCGAGTAATTACATATATTTCCAAAGACATCATAAATATATTTCGAGATATATTAAAAAAAAAAAAAGCCAATTGATGCATTAATAATTGGTAGTTCAAAAGTCTCATCCAAGATCAAATTAGGCAAACTAAATTTAAGCGATATGGTCATATATAATATAAATTCAAAAAAACATTAATTAGAAGTTATTTGTACCTAACAGGAATCGATCTTGAGACCTGATACTTTAAAAGACACTATTATCTAAGTATTTTTCAACCAGGCCAACCCCTCTAAGCAGATAATTTAAAGTTCACCATAAACATCAAATTGAGGTTTCATCTAGAGTGGCTAATTATAAAATATGTGGCACCTAATAAAATAAAATATATAATTTTTAAATAATTTAATTTAGTTTTTATTTATTTTATTCATTAGTTATCCGATCACAAATAAAGGTCAACTTTCCGGTTTTTTTTTTAGAACATAAATTATCCAAAAACAAATAAAGTTTACATTATCATTTTTTACTCTTCCTTAAAAATATAAAAAGAAAAGAAAAAAACTATAAATAAAAGTCAATCACGACTCACGAGAACGGACTCAGTTTTAAATTTTAATGAAAAGAAAAACAATGGTGACAGACAAACCACGAGATGATAAGCCGCCCCGTTCAGTCAGCCTCAAGTGGGCCAAGTGGATAATTGTTCAATCAGCCACTATACTTCGGCGGATAGTCTACTGGGCTCCACACTCGTCTCAGCCCATGATACAAAGTGATGAACAGGTGGGTCCCAGAACTTTCCTGGGCTCGAGCCCAGTGCGAGATCACAGCCCAACCCACTCAATCTGAAAGTTTAGTCGACTGAAAACGACTTCTCCTCTAACAAATATTTATAATATATATAACTATATACGTATATTTTACCAGAATAACATATTTAATATGACGTAGCTTCTTAGGCGACGAGTGAGCAAATAACTATTTTTCAACTCTTATATACTGTATTATTCTTTTCAATTAAAGCAATTCTCTAAGTTTTAAAGGAACCTTTAGGTCACACTTAGGATGATTAATTTTTGTAAAGAAGGAATCAAAATCACAAAAGGGTATTGATTAACTACTATAGCCGACTCAAGCATGATTTATGCCAAAGACATGCTCAATAAGTAATATAACCAATTAAATAATAAATTATGTTAAAGAATTAAACAAAATTATGATAATAAGGTTTTGCATTATGTTTTGAAAATTGGGAATTCGAATATTTTAACACTATTTCAAAAAAATTTGTTAACGGTCGTGTAATTAAATATTGCATGTGCCTTATATAAGGTGTATAACACTATTGTAGAAAGAAAAAAAAATTCACCAATACAAATAATATTTAATTTCCTAAATTGTAAACATCATATTTAATATGGCTTCGCCAAATTTGAAAGGATTTATGAATAAAGTAAGGACTTATATTTTAAAAAATAAAGCAATAAATAACCCACCTCATAAATCCAGCATTGCAACAAAAAAGAAAAGAAAAGGGATTAACTAGCATAAGTTTATAAAAGTTAAATATATGTCTATAGAAATCAGTGCAATGTTTAAAATTAACCCACCCCTATAGAAACGAGAACAATGTTTTTGAGAGGATTGATATTAAGCACGTTATTGGTTTGTGATTTATATCTTTCTATTAGTTTAGAGTCCAATAATACATCATTCAATGATACATGATTTGTACGTGTTATGTATTCTGATGCATGATGCACCGACACACTTAATATCTATTTTTATTAATGCAAATGATTCTTGGATCCCATGATTTCATACCGTACTTACCCCCACAAATTGACATTTATACATGGTAGTATTAAATTAGAACAAATATGGTAATACATGACTTTATAAAAAAGAAAAAAACATTTAATATTAAAAACAAATGGTGATTAGGGTTTAACTTCTTTTTAACATTCCCCGTGGTAATTAGAAAGACCCGCCCACCGTGTTCCCCAAACAAAGGTGCGCAACATATGGAAAGTCATACGTGCGCATAAGGCAACCACGCCCTTTTTAGCAACATTCACGTTATCGTGCGCCTTCCTACTTATAAATCCTTCTGGGTCCTTCTTCCCCTTTTTGTATAGTACTCCATCTGCTTTGATCACTATAAACCAAACCTTTGAAAATTCTCAATCTCTCATCACTCTGATATTTATTTCGATTACTGTAAGTTCAATCTATCAATCGATCATACACATACATTAGTGTGTGTATATATGTATATATTATTGACTTGAGGATTGATCTCTGATTTGATCTGATATGTCGTTCTTTGTTTGTTTCTGTAATTGATCAGCAGGAAGCGTAATGGCGACAAAGAGGAGTGTTGGTGATCTGAAGGAAGGCGATTTGAAGGGGAAGAAGGTGTTTGTGAGGGTTGATCTGAACGTTCCTTTGGACGACAATCTCAACATCACCGATGATACCAGAGTCCGAGCTGCTGTTCCCACCATCAAGTACTTGATGGGTCACGGCGCTAAAGTCATCCTCTCTTCTCATCTGGTACGATCACACTAACCCGTTTTTTTTTTCCTTTCTTAAATTAAAATTTGCGTTAATCTTAGTTCTAGATTATAAGAAAACTGAAATTGATACAAATTTTTCTTGTTTGATTTATTTTCACATGATTAATCTGAAACGAGTTCATTTTCTTGCATGTACCTTGTATAAGCTATTTTGGGATTTTGTGATTTTTCTTGTTTTCTATATCTTGGGTTCAGCTCTGTGTAGCTTGTCTTGGTATTGTTTGCTGCTTTTGGGTCAATTTCAAAAAACCCTTTACTCGTTACCCAGTAGCGTATGTGGGGATTTTGGGGAGGAGGCTGTAGATAGATCTAACCTTGAGCATCATTTTTGCAAAGTTAGAGCTCTGTTTGAATTTAAGTTATACATACCTTGGTAGCTATTTGCTTAAGGAAGGGTATTTGTTGGATTTTTTTGAACTTTTTATATTCAAGGTGATAAGTAATAATATGTTGTTGCTAGCCTTTGACTTCTCATGGTTTATTTAATTTATATACAAGTGAGTAGATTTTGCCCATTTTTTTTTTAATGATTTTGTGTGTTCCTTACTTCCTTTTATGTGCCTCTTATTTTATTAGCCCATATTAGGTGTTTCTGTTCATGCTATTTTTCTGTGGTTTTCAATTGTAAAATTCATCATAAAGAATTGAAAAATCGGAGAAGATGGGTTTATTGCTTTTTTGAAGGAGTACTTTTGAATTTTAGGAATTGATTTGATTGCATTTCAGGATATTTACCTTGAACTGCATTTCATCAAGGGTTGATTTTCTCCAAAATTTCTTTCACTGCCTTAGTTTTTATTTTTATTTCTCATGTTGCTATATTGCTTTTTTATGCAATAAAATTTAATAGTGTTTTTTGAGGTACATTTTGTAGTCAACAGATTGTTAGAGTCCCGTTTCAAAATATAAAAGATAAAAAAGTAGTTAATAGACTTTTAAGTGGTTTTCTATTTCCTTTTCGTATTGGTTTATTTTATAATTTTACAGTTGGTTACTCTTTATCTTGAATTGTGGGTTTCAGGGGCGGCCAAAGGGTGTCACACCAAAGTACAGCTTGAAGCCTCTTGTGCCAAGGCTGTCTGAACTCCTTGGAGTTGAGGTTCGTTTAATTTTTATTTTTATTATATTGAAGTTGGGCATCATTTTTCTATTGTTTGCATCCTCATCTAAATGAGGCTCTATTGCTCACCATGTTTATGTGCCTTCAAAAGGTCAAGATGGCAAATGATTGTATTGGTCAAGATGTTGAAAAAATGGTGGCTGAAATTCCTGAAGGGGGTGTTCTGCTACTGGAGAATGTTAGGTTTTACAAAGAGGAAGAGAAGAATGATCCAGAATTTGCAAAGAAGTTAGCATCCCTTGCGGACCTGTATGTTAACGATGCATTTGGCACTGCTCATAGAGCCCATGCTTCCACAGAGGGAGTGGCCAAGTTCTTGAAGCCTTCTGTTGCTGGATTCCTTATGCAGAAGGTTTGTGGTTTATGTCTTACATTGGTTCTCATTATTATTATTTTTTTTTCTCATTTCTTTAAGAAAAGACATCCATGCATATCTATAAATGAACAAGAACATAGATTAATCCTAGATTAATACTTATACAACGTGAACCACGTGATCAATTATTTGGATTGTAAGGGATGGTCTTCATGGATTCCCTATTTTGTTACTATTTTGTTGTTATTGGGAAGTCATTTATAATTTTGTTGGTTGATTGATCATATGAAAGGTAAATTGCAAATATATTTTTGTGATTGGGTAGAGAAGCCAAAAAGTTAGCTGCTTGGCAGACCAAAAGACGGTTAGTCCTACATGGGTATGTAGCACTCTTAGTTAGGTGAGCTGAATTTGGGCTTAATTTAGATTAACATGTTTGGTTTTTCCAAAGATTTGACCTTACTCTGCTAGGACTTTATGTGAGCAGATGTTGATCCACTTCATGAACCCAATGAAACATTTCATGAGTTGAACACAAATTGTGAACATTGAGCGTTATATATGCCAAGGTTAGTCTGTCAAGCAGCCTTGGCTAGCTCATGCTCGAGCTTGGCTTGTTTAGCTCAATATATGCTTGACAAAGCTGTTGAATGAGTCTGAGTTTAAGCTGTTTTCAGTGGAGTAGTTTCATTTTTAATTTAAGCTCTGGAAAAGAGGATACTGCTTCTTGTCATTGGGTTTAATAGGCACAAAACTGACCTATCCTAATTATTCCAAACATGGAATTAGGCACTTTTGATGGTAAAGAAATAATGTTCTGCTATCATCAAGGCTTTCGCTCAAAGGTGTTGAAGTCCTCATTGGGGGCAATAGTTGGGTGTATGTGTTACCTACCAAAAAGAAAATGTTTTGCAGGTTGGATCCTTGGCAATTTTATTGGATCAAATTAACTAGGTTAAATTCAATTGTCTGTCATTGTTGTACTTATAAAAAATATTAATGATAACTTGTATGTCGTCGTAATGCAGTTTTTGTTTTTTTGTTTTTGTTTTTTGGGGATATAGTTTACATCTTCACTTGTTTGGTTTTAGGAACTTGACTATCTAGTTGGAGCTGTGTCGAATCCCAAGAGGCCATTTGCTGCAATTGTTGGTGGCTCTAAGGTATCAAGCAAGATTGGCGTGATCGAGTCATTATTGGGAAAGGTTGATATCCTCTTGCTGGGTGGTGGGATGATTTTTACCTTTTACAAGGCCCAAGGGCACTCAGTTGGATCATCACTTGTGGAGGAAGACAAGCTTGATCTTGCAACATCACTTCTTGAGAAGGCCAAGTCTAAAGGGGTGTCTCTACTGCTTCCTTCTGACGTGGTTATTGCTGACAAGTTTGCTCCTGATGCCAACAGCAAGGTTAATATCTTTTTTCTTTCCCATACTTCAGTCATGCATCTGAGATTAATTAGAAATGAAATTTTATCAATACTTGATCTTCCAAATCCGGAGTTCTTCAGTTTGATCCATAGTAATTTTTTTTAGTTTCAAGTCGTAAAGTGGTTAGAGAAACTACTGTCCTGCCTTTTACCAGATGTGTTTGCATTTGATTTTCTGTATTCTGTGTACATTCCTACTTTATTGCAGAGCTAACTACCAAGATTTAGATATAGCGCTGCAAGGAAACATGGAATCACCACCTTATTCACAAGATTTATTGTGAAAATTTGGGTATAAGAGATTTAAGCCTTATTCCTACTTTTTTGCAGATTGTCCCAGCATCTGCTATCCCTGATGGATGGATGGGATTGGATATTGGTCCGGATTCCATCAAAACATTCAGCGAATCTTTGGATACTACAAAGACCATCATTTGGAATGGACCTATGGGTGTGTTCGAGTTTGAGAAGTTTGCAGCTGGAACAGAGGTATGGAATGGTGACTTCTTTTTAATTCGTTTATTTGTAGTTGAGACTCTGTTTAACTCTTGTTAGAGCTTAGACTCTAGCCTTGGAAGGATGGTTTTAATTGGGGTTATTTATAAATTGCAGGCAATAGCAAAGAAGTTGGCAGAACTCAGTGGCAAGGGGGTGACAACAATCATTGGAGGAGGCGACTCCGTTGCAGCTGTTGAGAAGGTTGGGCTTGCAGAGAAGATGAGCCACATCTCAACCGGCGGTGGTGCCAGCTTGGAGCTTCTCGAGGGCAAACCACTTCCCGGAGTTCTTGCCCTTAACGATGCTTGATCCAAGTTTTGTCCCTCTATTTCCTTTTGTGTGCACCCTTGTTACCCTTAAATGTGTGGGTTTTTAATCAGAGAGGATCTATATCTCACTATAGAGCTGAGCTTGTAGAGTTTAGATTTGAATAAGCAAATCAAGGACGTGGTTAAATTACTCATTGATGATGAGTCTGAATCTTCTCTATTTTGAAACAATATAGTACTCTTGATGTTTCCATTCAAGAAGTTTTAGCTAGATCTGGTTTTATCTTTTTAGTAGCGGTATGAGTTTTTAGATTCTTGTATGTGACTTCATATTTCTGTTCATTATATTTTGTAGTATTGTTCGTCGTCCCACAATTAAGCGCTCTGAATCATGTAATGAACCGAGTCCCTCGTAATAATACCCACAAGCCCAAATGGCCAAACCAACGCCCGTAATCCATAAAGATTTGAAATCTCTTTTAATGACAAAAATAGTAACTATACGTTTGTAATGGCAATTGAAATGATTATATCTATGTCAGGTAAGATCCAACTTTTATTTACTTTTGATCCACAAGAGTTTATGTTCGATTTCTATCTCGCGGACGTGAACACAGCTCTCACTTCGATTTCTATCAGCAAAAAAGTTTAACCGCCAGAATCATGTTCAATTTACAATAGTACTAATTTATAAAAATAAAGGAGAGATACAAAATTGTAAGAGTTATTAAATTAATGAATTATGTAATGAAATTATTAAAAAGGATAAGTAAATTTACTGTGGAAGCCATATACTTTATAAGATGACAAATAAGAGAATACCTAAAAAAAAATAAAAAAAACTTACAAATGGTTTTCATAGATTTATATAGATTCATAAAATGCATATGATAGAATGGCAAGGGACATAATTTGGTGGATTCTACCAAGAAATCAACTATCTATAAAGATTATAACTCTTATTGAGGATATGTATAATGAGACATAAATTAGAGCAAATACTACAAGCGAGCAAAGTCTGTTAAGTCCTTTCTATAAAAGTGTGACGCACAAGGATGAATGTACAAGTGCATACCTATTCATGATAGTGGTTGATGAAACATTGAAAGAGCTCTGACCAAAAATAAAATTCCACTGTGCATGTTATTTGTGGATGATATAGTCTTAGTAGATCGTTTAAAAGAAGCCTTGACAACAAAATTAGAAATATGAAAAAAAACATTAGAAGCAAAAGGCTTAAAAATTAGCAAAACTCTACATGGAATGTAAATTTGATAAATTAACAAATGATGAAAATACAAGTATTACAATTGAGAATCAAATAACTACTCAAAATAATTATTTTCGTTACCTAGAATCAATACTACAAAAGATGGAGGGACAAATGGTGATGTAGTGATTAACTATTATTGGAGTACGGTGAACAAAATGAAGGCAAGTTAGTGATATACTATGTGACGAGAATACTAGATAAATTAAAAGAATTTTTTTATAGAATGATTATTATACCAACTATATTATATGGAGTTTTGAAAAAGACATAAGAAAAACACATTTTGTTGCCAAAATGAGAATTGTACAAGATTAATATAATTAGAAAAGATAAGACTAATAATGAATGTGTTTCGGGAACACTAGGTACGTATGACGACTATGAATTGTAAAATTATAGAAAACTCATGTGATATGGTCTACATTCATAGTAAACTCGATGATGCAGAGTTGGAAGAGAAAAAATTGTCTGCTTAGAAGGTGAGTAACAAAGAGGACCAAAACATACATCGGAGGAACTAATTAGAAACGATTTAAAAAAAAAAAAAAGTCTAAGATGATGCACCGGTTAGAAGAGGAAAAATTGTTTGCCTTGAAGGTAAGCGTCAAAGAGACCGATCAAAACATACATGGAAGAAAGAAACTAGAAATGATTAAAAAAAATTAAATCTAAAAGAAACATGGTACACAATAAGAAGAAATGAGAAAAAGAGAATCACGTGACTGATAGAAGCAAAACGTCAGATATTTTACAACCAGCTAACATAAAAGACACAACAACTATTACATGAAAAATAGGACCATAAAGCCATGGTCTACTAACATGCTACTAACATGCTCCACTGCTGGGTTACAACCGTAAGAATAGGTAAATAAAACTAACCCATAACAACTTCCTATAAACTACTACGACAATCAAATACTTACGTAAGTAAATTATTTCCAACATTCCCTCCCTTAAACTGAAACTTTTCAACATCCAGTTTAAAGAATATCATCTGCGAACTTCAAACTGAACCTTCAAAAATGCAGACCCCGAGCAACTCCTTTAGCCTCTTGAATAAAGGCATTTTGAGAGGTTTGGTGAATATCTCAGCAATTTGGTCTTCACTTCTGCAAAAGATAAGATTAATCACTTCATCTTTCGTGAGATCCCTTAAGAAGTGATACTTTACATCTATATGCTTGCTTCTTCCGTGCAAAACAGGATTTTTGGAAAGTTTAATTGCTGAACTGTTGTCACAATAAATTGAAGTGGCTCCTTGTTGCTTGAACTGAAGTTCTTCAAGAATCTTCCTTAGCCAAATAGCTTTACATGCACATCAAGTTGCAGCTACGAATTCAGCTTCGATTGTTGATAAAGTGACAATTGGTTGTTTCTTTGAAGACCATGAGACAACTCTTGCACCCAACACAAAAGCATACCCTGAAGTGCTTTTTCTACCATCTTAATCTCCAGCATAATCACTGTCAGTGAAGCCCATCAAATCTGAAAATTCACCTTTCTTGTAGAGCAGCCCAAAATCAGCAGTACCTTGCAAGTAACAAAAAATCCTCTTTGCAGCTAGAAGATGCATCTCTTTTGGACTTTCCAAGTACCTACTAATGAGACTTACAACATGCATTATATCAGGCATTGTGGTAGTCAAATACATCAAGCTTCCCACAATTTGCTTGTAAAGGGTGTTGTCAACCCTCCTTCCTTCAGTATCTTTGATGAGCTTCAAACCCACTTCGGCGTGCTAACAGAATTGCAATTCTTCATTTGAAACCTGTCTAAAATTTCTCGCACATTCTTCTTTTGACAAATAAAAATTCCAGCTGCAAATTGCGTTACTTCAATACAAAGAAAATACTGCATCTTTCCAAGATCAGACATATCAAATTCAACCATCATAGAATTCTTAAAATTTTCAAATATGGCATTATCATTTCCAGTGAAGATAAGATCATCAACATATAAGCACACAATGAACATTTTTCCTCCATCTCCAATCTTTGTAAAAAGTGTATGCTCATATGGACGTTTTTGAAATCCCTCCTTAGAAAAATAAGCATCTATACGACTATACCAAGCTCTTGGAGCCTGTTTTAGTCCATATAGTGCCCTTTTTAATTTATAGACCTTATATTCACTTCCAAGTTTCACATAACCAGGAGGTTGATCAATAAATACCTCTTCTTGAAGTTCACCATGTAAGAATGCCGATTTATAGTGCCCTTTTTAATTTATAGACCTTATATTCACTTCCAAGTTTCACATAACCAGGAGGTTGATCAATAAATACCTCTTCTTGAAGTTCACCATGTAAGAATGCCGATTTCACGTCCAATTGAAAGATGGGCCATGAGTTTTGAGCCGCCAATGCAATCACTAATATGATTGTATTAAGTCGTGCAATAGGAGCAAAAACTTCTCTAAAATCCACACCAAACTCTTGCTTATATCCTTTAGCTACTAAGTGTGCCTTGTAATTGTCGACTTCACCGTTCTCCTTCAATTTTGTCTTGTACACCCACTTGACACCAATTGTCTTGTGCCCTATTGGAAGCTCTGTCAACTCCCAAGTGTTATTGTTTTCAATGGCGACAATTTCAGCATCCATAGCCTTCCGCCACTTTGATTCTTTGATGGTATCTTCAAAAGTTACTGGATCATAATCTGAAAATAGAGCAAAATGAGTGATAGGATCATCATTTTGATTAATTCCTGGTACCTCATAATCCTCCATCCATGTTGGCCTTTTTCTTTTATGTTCGGGACGTGTGCTGGTTGGTGTATTTGATTATTCTCCCAATTAACCATCATTTGCTGCTATTGTCGGAGGGCTTTGAGGATCTACTGGAACATTTTGAGTGGTTGTTGGTTGCGGAACATTCTTCATTGGTTGTTGCATTTTCTCATCACTGTCAAAATCTGCTAAAATATGTTGTCCAACATCGTTCTCGTTCCATGGCCAGGTTTGATCTTCATTAAAAACAATATCGCGACTGATTACAATTTTCTTGGTGCTAGGATTGTAAAACTTATAAGCTTTTGATTGGTCACTAACACCAAGAAAAATGCATTTTTCTCCTTTGTTGTCTAGTTCCTTCCTCTTCTCATCTGGAATATGGGCATAAGCAATACACCCAAAAATTCTGAAATTATCTACAGATTATCTTCGTCTGTTCCAAGCTTCCTTTGGATTTATATTTTGAACAGCCAAAGTGGGACTTCAGTTTAAGATATGAATACTCCAATTAACTGCTTCAGGCCAGAAATTTTCGGAATGTTGTTCCTCATCAAAAGACTTCACACCACAGAAACTCCATTTTGCTAGGGCGTGTATGCTACTGTAAGTTACCTTTTGATTCCATGAAACTCACAAAAATTTGCAAATTCATGCAAGTTGTATTCTCCACCACGATCTGTGCGAAGAACTTTAATTTGACTTCCAACCTCTTTCTCAACCAGCGCTTTATAAATTTTAAAGGCTGCAAAAGCTTCAGATTTCTCCTGCAAAAAATAAACCCAAATTTTCCGACTATAATTATCAATGAAGGTAATTATGTATCTCTTGCCTCCATTAGAAGATGGATTTATCGGCTCGCAAAGATCAGAATAAATCAGCTCCAATGGCTTCTTTTGCTCTCTATAATTTTCCTTGCGGGAATTGATTACGGTGTTATTTGCTAACAACACATTCTTCACAAACTTCAGAGGAAGCTATAATTTGAGGAAGACCAGTGTAATGACCTAAACCCGAGGGTTTGCTAACCGAGTCCTTACCCAAACCTGAGGTTAACTAAAAACGTTATCGTCATTTCCTATATCAATACATAATATACGTGTCATCCCAGGGTTTATAAATAATAATAATAAAATGAGATCATAGCTACAAAATATGTCAAACAGTCCACTAACCCATCAAAACCTGTGGAGGAACGTCGTCCGCCACTTCCTTCTCGTGAACTGAAAAATGTTAAAATGATGGGGTGAGCTAAACGCTTAGTAGG